AGAAGTAAATTCTAACCCCAAGGCAACTAGGGTGGGTTTCCAAAAATAAATTAAGAAATGTGTTTCCAAAAATAAATTAAGAAAAGCTTGGTTATATAGTCTCTAACACCTTACAATCTCTCACATTGAGGCTGTCTCCTTCAAATTCTACCTTGTTAGCATGGTAGCGTTGGCCTTCAACTTCAAGTACCAAGGCCAATTGAAGCTATGCAAAGCTTCAATTTCTCCAAGGTTACCACCTTAGTAAACATGTCTACTGGATTCTCACTCCCACGGATCTTCACAAGTTGCAATGCCTCTATCTCTAGAAGATGACGGATGTAGTGATACTTCAACCGAATGTGTTTGGTTCTCTTGTGAAAGCTAAGTTGTTTTCCAAGAAAATAGCACTTTGACTGTCACTGTAAAGAATATTATTCTTGTACTCCTTCCCAAGTTCCCCAAGTAAATTCTGAAGCCACAACATCTCCTTGCTTGCCTCCGTAATGGCCACATATTCAGTTTCAGTGGTAGATAATGCAACAATCTTCTGCAGTTGTGAAAGTCAAGAAACTGTTGTCCCACCAAATGTAAAAACATACCCGGTGGTGCTCCTCGATCCATCCTAGTCATTCAATGCCAGGTCTGCATCAACATGTCCTAGCAGCTCTACATTCTTCCCATCAAAACACAAAGCATTAGAAGCATTACCTTTCAAATACCTCATGATCCACTTCACAGCTTCCCAGTGTTCTTTTCTAGGGTCTCCCATGTATCTGCTCAATACTCCCACCGCGTGTGCAATGTCTGGCCTCATGCACACCATAGCGTACATGATGCTGACAATTGCCGAGGCGTATGGGACATTCTGCATTTGAGCACGCTCCTCCTTGTTCTTCGGCGAGTCTTCCTTGCTAAGCTTGAAGTGACTACCTAGTGGTCACTTGCTACCTTTGCATCTTGCAATCTGAATCTTTCCAGGACCTTCTGAATGTATTCTGCCTGTGAAAGAAACAATCTGCCCGCTGCCTCATCCCTCTCAATTCGCATGCCCAAAATCTGCTTTACCTCTCCAAGATTCTTCATGGAAAAACGTTCTGACAACCGCTTCTTTAGCTTCTCAATCTCCTTTGAACTAGCTCCTACAATCAACATATCATCAACATATAACAACAAGATAAGATAACAGTTCTCGGTCTTCTTGTAGTAAGCAATTGTCGGTGTGGCATCTCAAGAAATTTATGTCCCTCATGAAACCATCAAATTTCTTGTACCACTGCTTCGGTGCCTGCTTCAACACATATAAGCTCTTCACTAGCTTACATACGAGATTCTCACTGCCTTCCGCCACGTAGCCCTCCGGTTGCATTATGTAAATCTCATCATTCAGATCACCATGAAGGAATGCAGTCTTCACATCCATCTGATGTAACAACAAATTCTTTGCAGCAACATAACGCTGCTCGAATCCCTTCACAACCAGCCTAGCTTTGTAGTGTTTGATACCATCTGCCTCTTTCTTGATGCGGTAGACCCACTTGCAGTGCAAAGCCTTCTTTCCTCTTGGTAGCTCAACTAACCTCCAAGTATCATTGGATGTGAGAGATTCCATCTCATCATCCATTGCAAGTTTCCACTTGCCCTTGTCATCAACCCGAACTTCCTCTGCATAGGACTCCGGTTCACCACCATCAGTAAGCAACAAATAGAAATTAGAAGGTGAATACCTATTTGGTGCTCTCTGGTTTCTGGCAGGCTGCTGCCTTGGTAGGGTTGATGGATCTTCATCACTGTTCAACTCTTCATTCTGATCCTGCTTGCTCCATCCCGAATTAGAGGTATCTAACTCAATGATCTTCGGATTATCTTGCTCAGAATCGGAAACATTCAATCTGTCCTTGTACATAACCTGATTGTTGAAACTACATCTCGACTACGAATAATCTTCCTATTCTGATCATCCCAGAATCTGTATCCATAGTCATCACCACCATAGCCAACGAACGTACACTTGACAGATTTGGCATCTAGCTTGCTTCAGTCAACACAACTTATATGAACATAAGCAACACAACCAAATATGCGGAGATAGGATAGATTAACCTCCTTACCCATCCACCTTTCTTCAGGTATGCCATTCTCCAATGAGATCGTAGGACTTCTGTTGATGAGAAAAGCCGCGATGTTCACTGCATCCGCCCAAAACATCTTCAGTAAGACACTCTTCAACCTCATGCATCTAGTCCGCTCATTCAGTGTTCTGTTCATGCGTTCAGCAACGCCATTATGCTGCGGAGTCCCCTTTGTTGTCTTCTCCATACGAACCCCGTTCTCAGCACAAAACTTCTTGAACTCAAGCAGTTCATACTCACCTCCATTGTCAAATCGAAGGCACTTTAACTTCAGACCTGTCTCCTCTCAACAAGAGCTTTCCACTTCCTGAAAGCATCAAAGGCATCAGATTTATTTTTGAGAAAATAAACCCACACCTTTCTTGTGGCATCATCAATAAAGGTCATGTAGTAGGTGGATCCTCCCAGGGATGTAACTTCTGCGGGTCCCCAAAGGTCGGTGTACTTGTGAACTAGTTCCAGCTTCTCCGGTTTGATAGTTCATCTTCCCTTCGAGAAACTGACACGTTTCTGTTTCCCGAATATGCATAAGCCAACCTCAACAGTCTTCAAGCCGGGCAGTTTGCCCTTCGAGCACAGCTCCTTCATCCCATTTTCGCTCATATGACAAAGACGACAATGCCATAATTTCACATCGTTTGTTGCAGCGGCAGCAACATTGATGCAGTCCTTCAAGTTCGTTGTCATGTACAACGTACCCTCCTTCTTCCCTTTAGCAATTCGCAAGGCTCCTTTGGTGATCTTCCAGTTTCTGCTGCCGAATGTAACTGCATAGCCTTCATCATCCAGCTGCCTAACTCAAAGTAGACTTTTTCTCAATCCAGGAATATGTCGGACACCATTCAGTTTCAGCATGCATCCGTTCGGAGTCTTCACGTGGACTGTACCCTTCCCGACAATTTTAAGAGGCTCATCATCAGCAAGATACACCTCTCCAAAATTGCCAGGAGTATACTGTTCCATCGCTTCAGCATTACCGCTTGAATGGAACGAAGCTCCAAAATCCAGAACTCATGACTCCAACGGACTGCTCAGGCTCAGGATCAGGAGATCATCGCCAGATGATTCTGCCGCTGCATTGGCAGATGTCTTCTCCTTCTGATCCTTGATCTGCTCCTTGCACTGGCTCTTGAAGTGTCCATACTCCTCACAATTCCAACACTTGATCTGACTTTTGTCCTTCTTACCCTTGCTGTTTGATTTGCATTTGGATCTTGATTTATCTCGATTTGACTTTGACTTCGACTTCGTTCTGCCCCGGTTCTCTGTACTCAACGCCGATCCAGAAGCCAAGCCTGATTCCTTCCTGCGAATTTCTTCGCTAATCACTAGATTTTGACTTCATCGAATTTTAGTTTCTTCTTCCCTGCCGAAGCGCTGACTGCAGTCACCGTTCCACTCCAGCTTTCCGGGAGAGAAGAGAGCAGAATTAGGGTATGAATTTCGTCGTCGAATTTTATCTCAACCGCGCTCAACTGTCTGGTGATCACATTGAACTCGTTGTGATGATCCACCACTCTCGTGCTTTCTGACATCTTTAGGTTAAAAAGACACCTCATCAGATGAACTTTGTTCACATCGGAAGGTTTTCCGTACAAATCCAATAAAATCTGCAACATCTCCTTCGTCGTTTTCGCTTTAATGATGTGTAGGGCGATGTTTCTGGACAGCGATAATCGAACCACTCTCATCGCTTTTCTGTCCAGCAACTTCCAATCGCTCTCCTTCATGTTTTCCTGTTTATCATCCAGAGGTTGATACAGATCTTTACCGTACAGGTAATCTTCGATATGCAACTTCCAAAATCTGTAATTCGTTCCGTCAAACTGCATCACCGGTGTCTTCAAATTGTCTGTCATCGTGAGATCTCCCTTCGAACCTAGGGCTCTGATACCAATTGTTAGGAATTAAACTCACGCTCACAATTAATAATAAGAAGAACACGAGAAAATTTGGTTACCCAGTTCGCCACGAATAACTACGTCAGGGGCGCTACCAAGCCAGGAATATTATTGCTATTTTCGGATCCACACACATGATTGCAAGGGAGAGAGCTTGTATTTATAGAGAAGTAAATCTTAACCCCAAGGCAACTAGGATGCGTTTCCAAAAATAAATTAAGAAACGTGTTTCCAAAAATAAATTAAGAAAAGCTTGGTTATACAGTCTCTAACACCTTACATAATATAGATTTGATATGACGTTTGGGATAGAAAAGCTAATTGATACGGCATGTTTTTGCATTCGGCCAACCAATTACCGCAGAGCTCTGCAATTATTTCAAACTGTACCATGATCTGCCTGGCCCGATTATGCAGCTTTCAGAAATATTTTCAGCTTTTTTGGATTCACCTTGACCCGTTTTTTACCTAAAACTTTGGGTGGGAATTTGCTAGTGTTTCTACTTAAATATAGATAGATTTGTATATAGATAGATTTTATTTTCTACTTTTTCATTTACCATACACACTGTATATTACATTTACTATTTTCTACTTAAATACCGTCAAAAATCAAATAAGACACATAAAAAAGAGCAGAGGTAATATGGAATGTTCTTAGCTAAAATATCGAATTATATATTCTCAAACCTCAAATATATCTTCTAAAACTAAAAACATTAATTAAGTTAGTTTATTGACACCAAAAAAGATATGAAAACTAAGACTAGTAATTTGGAAAAAAGAGATTCGTATATGGGTTTTCAAAACTAACAAAAAATGTTAGAGTCGTACTTATCAGGATCATTTGAAATCTTAATGTATAATACTCCGTAGGAGATTGACACGTAATCAAGTGTCTAATTTGGTATGCATTAAAACTTAATGGCAAAAATGATATTCAGATATTATCACAATGTCCAATTTGGTCGGCATTATGAGATTCACTTATAATCGTAGTGTCCAATTTGATTTGCATTAAACTTAATGGATAATATGAGATTTACGGATAATCATAGTCTCTCATTCATTCCATCTCTTTTATCGTATCCTATACATTGTGATGAGTGATGACTTGGAATTTTGGGGACACCCTAAAGGATCCACCAAAATTTGGGGCACATCTTTCCTTAAATGGTGTATATCTATCGATGAAACTGCGATTCAGTTTCTGCACATGTGTTTTTGTAATTCCAACCACATGCATCAACGTTGTCCTTATGTTTTTTATTGTTCTTTTTTCCCTAGATTTTTTTATTCCAAACCACATCATCATATGTTTCATAACATTCATTTCTTTGTTTGACAGGTGAAAGAATCTGGTGACTGAAAGGAAGAAGCAATATAATGTCGTACAAGGTGGATCATGAATATGATTACTTATTCAAGATTGTATTGATTGGTGATTCCGGTGTCGGGAAATCCAATATTCTATCCAGATTTACCCGAAATGAATTCTGTCTCGAATCGAAATCCACCATTGGTGTTGAGTTTGCTACAAGAACCCTCCAGGTAGGTTTGATAAAATTTCAAACACCTACCTTCTAACCTCTATAATCTCTTTTGAAGCTTGTTGTGATTATGGTGTCAAAGTCTACCCGATCAGCCAATCCATTAGATCCATAAACTTACATGAACCAGATAGATATGTCTCAACATAATGGTTCAAATTTGTATGATCCAGATGGGAGGTATCCATCAGGTTCCTGCCCATATATGTACAAGTTCTATTCCAAGTTTTAATTCATTATAAAAAATGTGATGAAATAAAGTTCTATTCCAAGTTTTAATTCAATATTTTCGACTCCATCTTAGGACTTGGTAGAAACTAACATTATCCATAATTGTAACAATGGTGCAGGTGGAGGGAAAGACAGTGAAAGCGCAAATATGGGACACAGCGGGTCAAGAGAGATATAGAGCCATAACAAGTGCTTACTATAGAGGAGCGGTAGGGGCATTGTTGGTTTACGATATAACAAAGAAGCAAACCTTTGACAATGTTGAACGGTGGCTCCGTGAGCTCCGAGACCACGCCGACTCCAACATTGTCATCATGTTGGCGGGGAACAAGACCGACCTGAATCACCTCAGGGCTGTGCCAGAACAGGAGGCAAGACTCTTGGCAGAGAAAGAAGGGTTGTCGTTCCTCGAGACCTCGGCATTGGAAGCACTGAATGTGGAGAAAGCATTTCAGACAATTTTGTTGGATATTTATCAGATCATTAGCAGGAAAGCATTGGCTGCTCAAGAGGCTGGTTCGGTTCCTGGTCAAGGCACCGCCGTTAATGTTGGGGACTACAATGCCAATACCAACAACAAAAGACCCTGTTGTTCTGGTTAAATGATACATATATAACATACTAGTTTCATCTCGAGGTGGGGCAATATCTATGGACTATGGTAAGACCAGTTCAGCCTATGTTACGTGCAAGGATAGACCGGTATGGTCATACGAGCAATTAGACCTCACACACCGCAAACAGTCACCATACGGATAGCATAGACCAGATCATCATACTGCACTAGCCAAGTAGCCAACACATTCCATATTGTCAAACAATTTGTAGAATATCACATGAATTCTACTTCATACGAAGTATATGTTAGATTTTTAGGTAAGGCATTCTTGAGTCTTGACTATATTTACACTCTTTCCAATAGAATTTAATTGTAAATATTTCTTTATTTGTTTGAGCATTATAATTTGGGACTTCATCCTCATATGCTACTTTATATTTCCAGTTCAATCACTTCTAATGAATGTTTGTATTTTTATATTTTGTCTCATGAGGGGTGATTTTTTATTATAATATGCACCATGTAAGAAAACCGCTCACTAGAGCAGACCCCAATGTGAAACTAATATCCTCATTTCAGCTTAAAATATTCAACTGAAGTTTCACTATAAAAGAGTAAAAGACATCAATGTTTACAATATGAAATGACATAACAAAGTTATAGAAAAGGATAAAGCAAAAATGACATAAAGAAAGGTTGATGCGGGATGCATTTGTTTTTTACTCACACAGAATTGCTCAACACATAAAGTAGACATTAATTAATTAATAAATTATAATATGGGAGAACATATATGATGTCTCATTTTCCTTTGTATTGTTCTACAGCAGTATCTAACGTGTGAGAGACAGGCACTGAATGATTTGGAAGGTCTAAATGGGGAGAGCGCCCGTCATATTGATATGGGCCAAAGTGGACCTCAAACCGTATTTATTCACGGCCGCTTGAACAGCTCTGTAACTATCTCCATACGCTGGAGTAGCGTCATGCAATATCTGATGCTTAAAAAACTCCCCTAACTTATTTTCCATAGCAGATTTTCTACCAATCTTCGAGGATGAACCGGTTGACGTTGATGGCATGTTTCTGTGTCCAGGAGTCACCTCTGACTCGAGCCACATGTAAGCAAGCACTTGGCAAATTCCTTCTTCTAGTTCCAAGTCCATATTGCGATAACCTACATATTTTAAAGAAATCTTTTCAAGTGTTCATACAAAAATGGAAGTTCATTAGGTTCAATTGCAAAACTTTTAGGACTTCGTTCGATTCAGGGATTATGAAGGGGAGATCAACGAACAAAGAACAGATCTTTATCTAGGATTGTCCAACTAATTGACCCTACTAACACGATAGCAATTTTGGCGTTTTCTACAGAACTACAAACATGTGTTCATTAGCAATACATAGGATTTGAGTTTCAAGTTGAGGTTTACCATTAAGCCGTAACCATGCATGCATTAATTCATGTGCAAGAATCGTGCCAGTCAGTAGTCTGCATCAAGGACATACATTAATATTCCATGTATAATCCACACACACAAATGACAAATGTGGTCATATTCCATCATACTATGCTGAATTTACAGTGGGACATGAAAGAAATCAACATTAAGATTTGGCATTATGCCTTCTTTTGCATGGAATTATAATGAATAATAATAAGAGGGGAGGTTAATTTTTCATGGCAACAATATGCATGAATGTGGGGGTAAATTTTACCTTGGTAGACCATATAAAATCAAGATAGCTGTAACTTCACATCTTCGAGTTAGTCTGAGAGGTTGTGTTCTCATTCCTACAAAAACACGGCCCCCCATTCTCGGCTTCCTTTGTATCTGTGGAGATCACTCGATGAAATGTATTAACATGTTTTAAAATTTTCAAAAAAAGTGTTGACAAAAAGTGTTAACATACGCTGCTAACTGTTTGCTCCTCAGACAGGCACAGGCCTCTTGTTTCAGACATGTGGAGGGAGCCCTATAATAAGATCTTCAAATGTCAGAAACAGTCTCAAGATTAAGGCTCCATTTGGAACTCTAAAATACTAAGAAAATAGGAATGAAAACATAGAGGAAAACTGGAAGGAAAGATATTTTTTGAGAAATAATAAGTTGTTAAAATTGGATTTATCAATTTTAGATACTTGTCCAAGATAAGCGCCATAAGAAACTATGTTACACAAAAGTAATTACAAGTATCTACTGAAGAAAAGAGAAACTGGACAAATATCTTCAATTTAGCCAAAAATGAAGATTGAAGGTTAAATGTGAAGAAAGAAGAGTCAAATCCGATACGTCTTGGTCAAATACGGAGGCCAAAAGATGATAAAAAGGTAAGTATTTATGTGACCATCAAAACAGGCATCGGACCAACCCAAACTGGTGCCCAAATTACTATTCTAGGAACCCCCGGAGAAACTGAACCAGTCCGGCACAATACACACCTCCAAACCGGTGCTGAGGTGCTAAAAATGTCATATTTTAGGGTCAGGAAGTGGAACGTTGCACCGGGTAGGCCTAACCCAATGTAAGGTCAAAATTAGCAAAAAGAAGCAAGATGTGCAGAAGAGATTTTTATGAGAATGAGAGTTTTTAAGATAGCTCGACATTCTCATCCCATGCTTCTGGAAGATTATGAATAAACTAAAAGATATCAATCTTTAGCATATTTAAACCTCCAAAATCATCATATATCCACCATTCAATTTTCGTCATAATTTATACTTTTGTCCATTAGTATCATGTTATATTTGTCATTATTTCATAAAAATTCCTTGGCAATTCTTTTTATTTCCCTTTCACTTCCAGTGTTCCAAACATAAAGTAAGTGGCCAGAGAATTAAGAAGGCTAGCAATCATTCTTACATTTCTCTCGCCTACGATAGCTTCATTGAGAGCTTGTCTTTCAACAAGGATCATAGGAATTTGTTGATCTATTTTCATGTACAAACCCTCATAAAAGTGCCTGATGGAATGGTAAAGCGGTTGACAATCCCCGGTGTCCATTATCGCGGACTCCAAGCATTCACAGCAAATGCTCCTACCGTCTCCAAGGGATACATATCTTGCTTTCCATGACTTCAACCAAAAGTGTAAAATCGACATAAACACCAATCATATTACTAACACTTTACAGTTTCACAAAGAACTTATTCACATATTACTAACCACATACTTGTAGTAAATAAAGAAAATCCTTTAAATAGCACGAAAACATAAAAAAAATCATTATTATTTTCTTCCTAAAGTGGGACTCATTCAGAAAGTTTTATACTTTTAATAGAATCAAATGTCCTCTTTTAGAAATAAAACATAGTTAATGCACTTTGTCTAAGTTGTAGTCTACTTGAAATCTTTAGTAAATTTTAAGAACTTTGTTTTCTTACCTCGAGTCGCTCACAACTGCAGCAACGTGCAGTGCTATCATGCTCATGTGAAGGGCAATATTTCGTACCCCAATAGGGGTGGGATTTATACTCAATCAATCCAGATCTGTCAGCCGGGATCTGAAAATGCCCTCATGGATTTAGAAAAGGAAATAACAATAATGGGAGACTTGTGCCCTGATTGACTTTGATTCACTGAATAAAATTCAGATAAAATGCACATTAATAGTACTACTCCTACGCAAAATGGTTCTTACAAATTGATGGCAGACTTCACATCTGGGATGACTTAGTTCTTTGAAGCAATTCGTATGGTACGCTTTATTCCCTGAAAGTGAATACTTGAACCAACAAAGAAAACCCATAAGAGCTACATTGGGATTTGGAGTTCTATCCTAAATTCCTAATAGTTCTTTCATATGTTCTTTGTTTTATAGATATATTTTTATTTAATCACTCACTTGAACTTAATAATATGCTAAGACTTAGAGTGTCATCCTAAAAACAGTAAAACATACCTCATTGCCTTTGATAGGGGAATTGCACGCATGACAACGGAAACACTCTGGATGGTACAAACTCCCCATGCATCCCAAATAGTTTCTATAGCCAATGTCTCGGTAACAACCATTGCATATCCTGACATTACAATAAGAATCATCTGTAGGTAAGGTTTTCAGTTTTTATAGAAAACCAAAATTGAAAATCATTGACTATTGTCATAATCAGACCGAATCGCTAGTTTGAACTTAACAAAATCTGATGCCATATTAAAGCTTAGAGTTGTTCAATGTGAGATGGTTCCCCCTTAATGGTGCACAAGTAAAGGTTACCTTTTGGGTCTTACACAGTAATCCTTTGGTGCCCATGCAAGATAGAAAGGAGGCGTTGGGAGGGATAGAGTGACACCACCAGCACCACTACCACCACGAAAATGTAGTGGTACATCTTCATCATAGCCTTCCCTCCACTTGTTGCCTAACAATAGAGGAAAACCATGGCACTTCATTAAGAAAACAAAAATGACATAGCATGCCATGATAGCAATCGATTAACTGCAGACACAAGGGAATTATATTACCAGTAGGCTGCTTCAAACCTTCTGCCATAGAGAGTGCAATTGCATGCTCTAATTCATCTTTTTCCCTGGCTGTGGGGTGGACATCCTAGAAAGGGATATGCAAATAATAATAATCATTTATATTTTACAGAATTAACATTAATATTGTGCCCAAGTCCAGCAACAACTAAGCTACACGCCTACACTTACACATGCTATAAGCTTTTCAAATAAGTTCAAAAAACTCGAGCTTATTAAAACAATTCCATTAAGTAGCTTTTTAAATAAGATAACGAGTCTTTTGGATTTTTGTAACAGTTTGATTTTAACCTCATTATCGTCTTGGAATAATTTCGGATACATCCTTACATGTCATTCTATATTCGGGAAAAAATATATATCCTTTCATACCATTCTCTCCCAATTGAAACAAAAAGGGGGCATAAGCTACAAATTTCGAAAATGAAAACATTAATTAATAATATAAAAACGAAATAATGAAATATATGTCTTAAAATAGAGATGGTGATCAGATTCTTAGTGGTTAATTGGTTATTATCATATTCAGTTTTACATTGTACTATTGTAGTGACCATTAGGCTACACATATATTTTAACCCAAGTCAACTTTTGTCTATAAATTTTATTTGCACAACATTCTAGGAAAACCTAATATAATTAATTTCCCTCTAAATCTCTTGCATAACCAATGTTAGTCCGGTGGTGGCAGTAGTGAACTCCGGCTGCGGCGAACGGCAACCAACAATCTAGCAGGATCCGACGACCTGGGGCAGTACTACTCCAAACCTGTAAGGGTATTTTTGTCCAATCACAAATAAAAAAATTCTACTTATGGAATTTTCAACTACTTGAACCTATGAACCTATTTTTGGAAAGTTGACAACTGTTAGTCCATCTCCTTAGAAATCAACTTATCAACTGGTTTGATTAAACATGGATAAAGCCGAGTCAAAAAAGTCAATGATACTTTTGTAGTTCAAATAAAGCAACAGTTGGGCATTTATAAAACACAAAGAAAGATTAAAATACCTGAACTGTCGAAGATCTAAATGGAGTGCGCCAGACCATGTTTTCCTCCCCTAGAAACTCAGGCTGCTGCCCCTGTCCACTTCCCACTGCCTCACTCGAGTGATTTCCTTTCAAAAGCTTACTCACCCAACTCATAAATCTTCTGGTGTATCAAATAAAGTAGACCCTTAAGCAACAAAATCAAAAGGGTTCACGCTAAACTGCATAAAAATGAAGTCTTTAATTCAAAAACACAGTTCAGACCATTAATGCAATGCTGGGGGTGGAGCTCTATGTATAGGGGGAGGTTTCCTACTTTTTGCCGTTATTCTAGAAGCCGAAAAGGGGTGGTGTGAAAGGAAAAGGGCCGCGAGAGAGAGAATCGGAGGAGTGGGGAGAAAAAGAACGGAAGGAAGAGAAGGTAAGAAGAACAATGGCATCATTGATAAAAAGAGATGAGTTTGGGAGAGAGAATCTGTGATGGTGGAAGAGATTCGGGAAAGAAATGTAGAGGAGATATGACAATGGGGAATAGGAATATGATGAGTGTGAAAAGGGGGAAATTGAGCGAAAGGATGAGACAGCACATCCAGTTCCGAACCAGTTCTTATACCCTGATACAAGATACAGTAAAGGATGTTTTAAAATTGGGAGAACTACCTTTCAAAAAAAATGGGAGAACTACCAAATCGGAGTAACTCTTTGAATTTATATAAAAAGTGTAAATATCTCTTATATAGGAGGTTCTGTTCGTCCGTTGTCATTTGAGTAAGTTTCCGGTGTAAATATCTAGTTTAACCTTACCAAATTTCAGATAAAAATTCAATCAAGAAGGCAGTGAAATAAATTTTTGAAGATAACTATGCAGTTAAACAACGCAGTATATTTCAGAAAATCATTTGACTGTCTTCCCGATTTTATTTTTAGATGAAATTTGGTATGAGTAAACTAGACTTAATCAAGAATATGCTCAAAAAATTTCATCAAAAAAATCCACCCGGAACCGCCCCAAATGACGATGACCGGGCAGAGCCTCCTATATAAGGGGAGATTTGCACTTTTATGTAAATTCGAGGGCTTATTTGGTAATTCTCCCTCTAAAATTTGGTGCAGCCGGTTTAAATCAAGAATGGTTTTATGTGATCTCAAGTCTAAAGTCATTTGGTTTCCAAGGGTAAAGTAATGTCTCGTTTTTTATCTGGCTAAGTTTGATTTGATATTATTTTAATCTAAAATAATATGTGTTTGTACCCACTTTTGTACCCATCCCCCTATTTTGTTTGTGTAGATAAGCAATTCGTTAAGAAGAAGGTAGCATTTATCTCCCAATTGTCTGTGTACACGGAGTACAAATGTGTGTACCAAAGTGGATACAAGAAGCACTCATAAAAATATTCTAAGAATGGTGCTCTTGCCTTACCAACGGATTAATACAAGTAGGAGTTTTGTCCGCTTAATCCCTTGAATTGTATAAACATTATTTTTAAAATTTATTTTATTAGATAAATATAAAAGAATAAGGAAAAATATTTAAAATGAAGGCCTTTTTTATTAATATTACTAAATTAATAAGATAAAAATATGCTTGTTTTAAATTTATTCAAAAAGTGACTAATCTTACATTTAATGTCTTTTATTAAATATTACATTTGTTACTATTGTAGTATTACATTTATTATAATTAAAACATAAAAATTGTTCAGCTACCCAACCAGCATTGGCGGCATCACTGCCGCCTACACCGCCACCTCCATAACTACCTCCGCCATCCAGTTACTTAGCCCTTAAGCATAGTTCAGTGACTTCATTATTCCGTGTAGTCTAATACTAGGGTTGTTTTTACTTGGGTTGAAATTTGCTGGTCTGGTCTGATCTGGTCCCGTATAATCTGGTCTGATCTGAGTCTGGGACAAAAAACAGTCCAAGTAAAAACATCCTAGGGAGAACGTGAGATGACTAATACTCCTCTGTTCGTAATCCTCGTATGATGTATGTTTCTTTTTCATTCATCTCATCAAGTATTTCAATGTCATATTACATCCGTTCCGGTAGATTTTGGCAACTCCCAATTTGATGAGGAATAAGAAAAGTAATAGTTGTATGGTTGAAGTTTGTGCAAAGGAGAGAGAAATTAAACAAGTAGAACCACAAATTTTTTGCTTTAATTGAAATATGAAAAAAATTGGGATAACCAAAAAAGAAAGTTGAAAAAGTATAATGAATGGGACGGAGGGAGTATTTCATAGGAATAATGACAAATATAAGACTAAAATAAAAACAAGGGATACAAATGTATCTTTTTATACTTTAATGACTACTATAGTAATTATAGTGATAATAATTGCTCTATATCAAGTGACTATGAATAGTGACTATAATAATATTTTTGTGGATGAGTTATATTTGAGTAATATTTAAAGAAAAAACATCTATTGTGAAATACGTATATTGTTCTTCTTACTTTATCCATACATTATAAATAAATCCTTATCTTGAAATCAAATTCTCAATTTCCTTATTTAGATGTCTCAAAATTAAGTTATCATTTTTATTAAAAAAAAAAAATTAATACAACATGCCACAACTACCCTCGCTTTTTCATAATTTTGTTTAATTTGACATAGCAACGATATGCTTAAAAAGTGAAAAACAAAACTTTATTTTATATAAACATGTTTTTCAAATCAAATCAGAAATTTGTTTACCAATGAAGATATTATTCAGATTTTTAATAATTCCAACACTTTCTAGTTGTTGAAAGATAGATAGACTGATAGTACATTAGTTGATTAGTACAATAGTACCACGTAATAAAGACCCTCTAATTTAAAAAGAATGCAAAGGTTTCGCATTTACAGCCAGTATATTAAATTGGAGAGGAGAATAGAGTTGTGCCTCTTAGCTGGGATTGACTATATATGCATGGCACAACTTTAGTTAAGTATATCTTGCGTGAATATATGCTTTGCAAAAGTGAAGTTGAGTAGTCCGAATATGTACTCCCTCTCTTTTCGAGTTGAATAGTCAATCTGTAATGGAAGATACTTTAAAGAGTTAATCCTTTAAAGAGCTAAATAATTACACTGTAATGGTGCGTAATATTATACTCCGTAATATGTTTTTCTTCCTCTTTAGTCTTATTTAGACGCAATACTTTTACTTTTATATTATTCACTACTTTTTCTATTTTTATTTATATTATCAAATACTACATATCTTATTCATATGGAGTATAATAACAAGTGATATGACATACTACGTATAATATTGGTGAAATCGTGATAGTGTTCATTTTAAGAGTTAACTCTATAGTCAATTCAAACGTTGACTCTAGAAATTTATAGATAGGCAATTTTATATTTCAATTTTATATGATGTCAAACATATAAATAATGCAACTCTATAAACGTAGTTTGATGCATAGGTTTAAAAGATACCCTATATATAATATATTATCAGTACATCTATTTCGACCTCCAAGTATTTCTTTAAACATTTTATTAGGCACGCAAATCAAGGATGATTGTCCTTAATTGAGCTATTGACAAAACACGTCTTTATTGGCATGGTCAAACGACTTAATATTTTTACATCTGGCATAAGCTTGCTTTAAACTAGAATTCTTTAAAAAGTTCTCAAATGGATGAATGAGCATTTTTTTAAGAAGATAATGATTTGAATAACAAAGAATACGACAAGACACGAAGACAATAATTAAGAAAAGAGAAAATGAACTAACCATACCCCTAGTCCCAATATTAACTGATGTTTTGATTTCGAAAGTGAGTAATTTATGACTTAAAATTATGCAGAAGAGAGAAAGTGAGGAGAAATGTTATGAACACACATTCTTTACCAAAAATAAAAAGATAAGTTTATATTAGGACGAGCGGAAAAAGAAAGAATGAATATATATAATATTGGGACTGAGACTAAAAAAAATTGGGCTTGGGAGAGGATAAATTTATTGGCTAAAGGGTCAAATAGGTACATGAACTAACTTAAAATGTTCAATTAGCCCCTTATATAGGAGGTTCTGCCCGGCCGTCGCCAATTGGGGCGGTTCCCGGTGGATTTTTTTGATGAATTTTTTTGAGAATCTTCTTCATTAAGTCAAGTTTATCCATACCAAATTTCAGCTAAAAACTCAACCAGGAAGACAGTCAAATGATTTTTTGAAGATAACTGCGCAGTTAAACAACGCAGTACATTTTGGAAAATCATTTGACTTCCTTCCCAATTTAATTTTTATCTGAAATTTGATATGGGTAAACTAGACTTAATGAAGAAGATGCTCAAAAAATTTCATCAAAAAATTCAGCCGGGAACCGCCCCAATTGACGACGGCCGGGCAGAACCTCCTATATAAGGGGCTAATTGAACACTTTAAGTTAGTTCATGTACCTATTTGATCCTTTAGCCATTTATAATTTATCAAAATGACACAAATGCAACCCGTTGTACAATATGACTCATAAGAAAGAGGTAAACTATGACCAATTAAATTGTGTGATTTTGTTGGCTCTTTCTAAAGAGGATGGCCTTCACCCCTTCCATCCTTTGATGCCATGTGGCATCACATTACCTTAATTTTTTTCTTTAACTTGTTATAACATTTTTGTTTAAATTTAAATAGTCCCTACAAATATGTCACACTTTTTTTAGATCTCTGCAAAATATTTTCTTTGTTTTTCATTCCTGAAATTTATGTTAATTTTATTTTTAATTCATGACTAATGATAAGAACCTCCACTTGAAAATGAAACAACCACGACTAATAGGTTTCTTATAATGTTTTGTCATGTCATTCAAAAAGTATTTAATTTCATTTTTAGAAGGTTTTTAATACATATTTTAAAAATGAAAATAATTAATTGTTTATTATTTTAACTCTCATATTAGCCTCAAAAAAATATAAAATGATATATTTAAATGTCTCTAGAATATTTATGCAATTGACAATAAAAAATTTAAACAGCGTTGTTTTGGAGTTAGAGATGGACTAAAACGAAAATAGAGCATATTACAGGGTTGAAAAAAAAAATCGCAGGGACCTAAAACAAAGTGTGTTATATTTGCATGAATTAAAACCATGTTTATACCTTTTATTTATGATCTAATTTTTAGAAAATATAAATCATATTTTATAATTTTATATGATCTTTCCAACGATATCAATATTATCTATAAAATTTGAAAAGTTCATTTTTTCTGAATATTTATTTTTAGCTAGATTTTTTATATAAGTGAAAGATTAGTGACATATGAAAGATCGTAAAAAACAAATTGATATATATATATATATATATACACACAAAAACATGGATGAAAAATGAAAAAGATAAAACAATAACAAAATAATATAGAGTTAACATGTCATATAGAAAAGGGGGGATTTGACTTTGCACTCCACTTTTTAGGTGATATTGGACTTTGCATTTCATTTTGAAAAAACTTTGATTTTGCACCTCATTCTACTTAAATTTCCTTTGACTTTGCACATCATTTAGAACTTCACAAAATAGTATGTGTTGGGTGCAAAGTCAAAGTTTTTTGAAAATGAGGTGCAAAGTCCAATATCACCCAAAAAGTGGAGTGCAAAGTCAAATTCTCCCTATGAAAAATCAATCTCATAAAACTTTATGGATGAAAAATGAAAAAGATTAAACAATTACAAAATAATAGAGTGAACCTATCATATGGAAAATCATTCTCATAAAACTTTGGGAATGCAATAACTCATTACTCTAAGAATGCAACAAGTCTTTACTTGCCTGAGGTGTCGTAAGTGATTTTTTCCAGAAATTTAAAACGGTACATGTTCTATATGGTTTTATTTTTCTCCTGTAGATGTATGATGATATATATGATCCTAATGGTTTCTAATTTTCTATGTGCTACAAATTGGTTTGACAAGTACCGTTAGTACTTCTAATTTCTCGTCACATATATCTATTGTTGGCTTTGGTTGTTCTTTTAAGAAAATATACATCTTTCCTCCGCCGTGTACATTATTTTGTACGAAATAACATTTTGAACAAGTCAAATGAGCTAGAACAAAAACTGGCCTCTCAGTCGTTCAAATGATGTATAGTAGCCAAAGATCCACATACCACGGTTAGGTATAGACGGTTTGAAACTTTAATTTCTTTACCATAAATTCTTTTAAATTTTCTTCTAAAAAATGATTCAGCTACGTTCAACCTTGGTCTACATTTTTTCACTTCCACGAGAATTGGCCCTCTCCTATGAAATCTATTGTCACGAATATCTTTAAAACTTAATAAAGCAGAAACGCTTCAAGTGTATACAGAGTGTCTGTGACGATAAATTTTTTGTCATTAGGCAACAATAAGTTGGGCAGTATCTTGTCATCTTATTACATATGAAGTTCCAATCATTGTAGTCATAGAAGATTTATAAGCTATTAATCTATTAAATAATTACTTATTTCGTATAATAGTGTGCTCCCGCCATCAAATTCTCCCTGAATCATTCTTGTATGATATGGACAAAAAAAAATTGAACCTAAAATTTAAATATTGTTTGTATTTTAGAATCAATCCAATTTTTTAAGGGGCAAATGATAATCATGTAGTGTCTAGCATAAAAGAGATATAAAACCAAACAAATCTTAAAGGTGCTCAAAAATGCATGAGCAAATAAAGAAACTAAATTGAATTAGACAAAGTCGGGTGCATCGACCAACTGACCAGATTCCTTCATGTCACCAAAATATGCAATTTTGAGGTTAATGTCAACCTCATTATCATCTTCGGTCACAAAATGAGATTCTTGTTCTTTAGTCACCCGATACTTCTTGTAAGCGGCTGCAATTTTATTACTTGCTTGATAATTCCCATCCCAGTGACTAGTAATAACTTCACATATATAGTAGGGGTCTTCACCAATTCTTTCTCATTTGATCAGTAGCTTTGTGGATGCATTAAGCTAAGGATTTTACTTTCGCGTGTGATCATGCAGTCTCATCTCTTCGTCATACATTGGAAGATCCTCCACAACTCAAATCACAGCCTGCGTGACCCCCCCCCCCCCGACCATTATTGCATCATTCATGTTTTGAATTTTCTCCACGTGAGTATTGGTAATTAGCACCACCCACTTGCATTGGGGTGTTACCACCGGATATTTTGTCATAGTGAGCTTTAGAATTTTTTGTCCAAATGGTTTGCCATTATTGTCCAAGAGAACCTCATTGTGCCACTTAGAATAAATTAATCAACTGATTATAAGTGATAAGCCTTTTAATGTCATACTTCAACCTATATATGGGTTCGCTAGTAAAAGGGCTAAGGTAGGGAATTGAAGTCTTCTCATTCATTTCACCTTATGTAATTCTTTGGCGCATATGTTGGTTGATATATGCTTCCAAGTGTAACATATCTTTATTGAATTCATTAGCTTTCTTAAAGTCAAAATGACGGATTTATCTTCTGTGCCATGAGTTTTTGCCTTTTGGAGCAACAGTATCATAAATGTTCCCAAAACATTCCTTGAGTGCATCCTATAACCCTTTGGGGTTGACAAATGATGATATTCTCAGCAGACTTGAGTCAATATGACGCTTAAGAAACATTAAAGCATTGGTCTTTTCACCACAAAGGTTGTTTCTACATCACAAACCCACATATGGTCTGAGTATTGATCGATGTGGGTTAGAGAAGATTGGGTCATCAAATAGTCATCTTAATATACTACGTAGTATTTGTATTCACTATGGCTGGACTCGGGCCGGTTCGGGCCTGGGCCCGGCCGGGCCTCGGACCAGAAAATTGGGGCCCGAGCCCGAACCACCGGTGGCCGGTTCCGGTTCCGGTTCCGGGCCGGGCCAAACCGGTCCTTCTTTTTTTTTTTGGTTCTCCTATAATCCTATTTAACCCCCTCCCCCTCAACCCCAAACCACCTTAAATGGCCCAAAATACCTAATCCAACCCAAAACTTAAAAAAAATTCAAAAAAAAAAAAAATTAAAATCCGACCCGGACTGGGCCCGAACCGGCCGGGCCGGTTCGCCTAAAGCAGGGCCCGAGCCCGGACCGCCCATCACCCGGGCCGGGCCAAACCGAACCGCTGGAGTGGCTGGACCCACCGGGCCCCGGGCCGGACCGGGCCAAACAGTAACCGGGCCGGGCCGGTTCCGGGTCGGGCCGCCCGGCCTGAGTCCACCCCTAGTATTCACCAAGGCAGTCTCAATCTCATTTTAGATAGGATCAGAATCGAGCTGGTAAATCGGCCAAATTAGAACAACCGAGACGCAGTCCGTGACTAGTTAAGAGTATAAAACCAGTTCGAAACTAGTGTGGATGTTTGGGACAAGAACCGGAGCTGATCCAGAATTTTGATCCCGCTAACCAGGATTAGGAACTGGACCAGCCTATATATCGAATATCACATACAGAAAATTTATCAACTTTGAAATAAATTACTACTGAGAAATTATAAGCATCACATTGAATTTAAATCAACGCTAAGTGGTCCAGTAGGGGGGGGGGGATACCAATGTACCATCATAGATGATCAGAGCCATTGTTGTACACTAGATAAATCAGAGAGTTTTCTTGGTTCATACTACTAACATGGGGGACTATCCATTTCACATTTCAGAACATAAATAACAAAAAGGGGGCAGATACCTCAACCTCAGGTTCAAGTTAAAAGCAGCTATGGCCAGCCGCAAAGCTGCTTTTTATTTTTTTTAGTTCTCAGTGTCTTCATCACTACTGTCTTCTTTCTCATCACCCCTAAACTCTTGGTGCACCTGGGTACGCAAAGGTACATAGTTATCGGAAGAATCAAGCTGCAGGTCTCCACGATTCTTAACCAACAGCCACCGAAGTAAACGGTCTTCCTTGTTCAGGTAATGCAACTCATTGTTGAAATTAGGCGGTGTCATCATCGTCATTTGCATCATCTTCCCCTACATTATTTCAGTGACCAACAGGTTCTCCGTCTTTCATTATTTGATTAACTGTAACTAAATGTGTCGGAAACTGCAAGTTGTTTTACTAACAAATGAATAAACAGACCTGATAATACCTCCCATCAAGCTTCTTAATGCCATAGCCGAGCTGGACAGTTCCGAGAGATTTTATTTCTGTGAGGACTCCATTTCTACCATAGACATGCTTCCCCACCTTAATAACCAAATCCGTCAGCGCCTCAGCCTTCATATGCGGTTTAAACAAAAGCATGCAGTCATAAAGCGGCATCTTTAATTGCTACTGCTCTTCCCTCCCCCTTCATTCGAAGAATGAATGCATAATTAAATACTCTGTATAATAATATAAAGTTAATTGAAGCCTTAACAATAAAATATAACCTAAGAAATCTGTCCAAAATGATAAATAAGCTTTCGTCTTTCAACCCCCAACAAAGTAAGATGTATCAATACTTACAGAAAGATGAAACGAGGAAGGGAAAGGCAAACAGCATTCTTGTTTTTAAAAGAATAATCTAAGAAAAGAAAATTAGGACAAAACATACAATTGTAATAATATTTACAGTCCAAAAGTTGTTAACTTAACTAAAATACCACATGATCACAACAAAATATCCTACTAAACCATCTTCCAAAGAAAAAATGCCCCCAATGTGCTCGCGACTCTTTCTAATTTCTATTTTAGAAAATAATTAACATTTTCTAATGACAATTTAACCATCAAATAGTTAAAATAATGTAAAAGTAATATCACAATTATCATCAATTGCCCTATTATCTATCACCATCATCATTATATAAAAGCAAAATGTTTGTGAACAATATAACTGCCCAAACATCCCATGATATAGAGCAGCACGCGAGTCCACAAGATAAGAGCCTCAAAAGTAGAAGTATTGAACTTCTTATATCATATGCTAACTAAAAAATGTATCAGCTACAGTGTAGACTTTTATTACAAAAAATTAGATTTTAAAAATAAGGACAACATATACAGTAGAAACATTGATGAAAGTTAGTCAATGAGCAAACTATAAACAACCCCAATCAAGTCCCGAAATAATAAAGTACAACTGTATAGTAGTAAAATCATGCTAACCCCGTTTTTTAAGATGGACACCAGCTGGAACACAACCATCTAATACGGAGTACATAAACCTACAAGTTTACAAGTCGAAAACAAACGTCGAGAACAATGTTTTAAAGACTTCAAAACTTACGAAAAGAAATACCAAAAACAGGGGTAAAAGCTCGGACTGCAAAGTGATGAGCGAAGACATATTGGGGACATACATTGGCGACTTGCTGTAGCAATTCATGTCAGAGAGATGAGGACTAACTGACTAATTGGAGACACCCCCTAAGGATACTGTCTATCGCATGGAAGTTTTTGTAAATATGTCGGGTGTATTTTAAGTGGGCCCAAACACTTTCACTAAACCCAAAATAGTGTACACCTCTGCTACGCCTCATCGAGTATGGCTTATTGTGTGCGCCACATGTCTGAAAGTCGTTAGCCTTAACATGGCGCGATTTGGGAGACACCTTCTATCGTATTTGGAGAGAAAATCACCAAGGCACGCCTTGAGGCGCAATTGCATTCCGCAATTTCAAACGATAATCTCAACAGCCTGTTCATTGGTACAAGTGTATTTTTGGCCAATGAAATATCGCCAACCTGTTATGGACAATTGGACATGTGTATTTTCTTTATGAAAAGATCATTCATTTTTCTATAACTACTACTCTCTCCGTCCCATTTTACCTATCGTACTTTCCTTCTTGGGTTGTCCCAAAATAAGTATCACATTTCCTTTTTGGAAAGAAATATGTGATCTATAACATTTCACTTTATTATACTCAAATCCCAACCATAACTTTTACTTTTTCAACTACTTAATTAATAATTGTACAAATCCAAAGTAGGACACATATAATGTAACGCAGGTAGTACTACCTAGCTAACACTTTACAAATGAATAAAAATCAATTCTTCTACCACTTCTCGTCCTCTTTTTCATTCTCAGTTTGCAATATGAAATATATCATCTTATGTGTGAGTTATGTGCAAACCTGTTGTTTTAATACCTTTTACAAACAAGCAAACAAAAAAGTAATTTTTCTATAATGAATGATTTTTAGATGTTTCAAGTTAAGGAAAAGAACTATGTTTGATTGAATGTTAAGGAAATGGTAAACCAACTAAATCCACAGCTAAGAGAAGCTCTGTTTCTGTCTCTGGTGAGGGCAAATATTACTTTAGTATTATAGTTAAAAAAATTCTTTAATGTATAGCGATTAGCAATGCATACATAAAAAATTTAGCTTATACATGTATTAGACAATCAATTTGATTCATGGTTGGTTTTTGTTTCACTGAGAAGGCATACACGAAGTATATAGAACAATTTAGAGGTAAATTATTTAAAATAATCTTGCAGATGGCATTTTTTTTAGAAATGGAATACAAAATTAGCATTAGAAAATATAGTTTAAGTGGGCTGAATTTTTTAAAAAGATCACAGCAAGATTTTAGTACCATTTCTAGTTAGAGTTAATTCATGTGCGTACAGTAAGGGGAGTTGAATTAGTTAGATAGGTTTGCTCCTTAATTATAGAAAAACCATACTCTGTATATTTTATGTTAGTATTTTTCAATAGTCATGGTAAAACGGTTAAATTAGTTGAAATGTATTTATAGTGATAATAGGATGTAAAGAATAACAGGCTGTTAGATTTTGGGTGATAAAAATTCAACAACTAGCATATACGAAGTATTTGTTTGAGTGACATGAGGATAACAAAACATTACATTTAGGGGTTCAATACTGTTTTGATTTAAACGTTGAGTCATATTAGTTAGTTAATATTGCTCTTAATTGCAGGAAGACCAGTTCTAATAATAAGGAAAAATAGTTAGTTCACATGTGTGTAAAAGTAAGAACTGAATGTTAAGGATTAACAATATATTTGAGTATCTAGTTGAAGTCAAACACCGTAAGGTCCAGCAGACTGATGGTTAACCCAAAATTGTTACTTGTAGCAATTAAAAACGAATAAATAAAAAATATTTTAATCTAATGATTTTCATACAGATTAGGAAAAACAAGAAACATATTTTCTTAAATAAAATTAGAACTTGACGAATAAATGGAAAATGAAATCAGTACCAGAGGTTTTGGCGTTAGGATAGATTGGTATGAAACATAAAAATGAACTTCACGAATAAATTCATATGAAAACCTACCAATCTGGAGATTTTGCTACTGAACAGAGGGAAGGTCTTCGGTAACTTTGCGTCTTTCTGTTGTAGATTGTAGAACTGCTTCAGTAGTATATGAGATCCGTTTATGTAATTAGCCATGAAGAGACTGGCGGGGTATCCATGGAAGCGGGTATAAAATCTCTGCCGGTGTGGATCGGAGGAGAGTGGCGCTTGTAGATCGAAGGAATTGATTTCGCTGATGTCACAAAGGGGGCAGAAGGTGGGCTGAAGTGTAGGTGATATGGATAATTGTATATAATGGGTTAGGTTGATCTGTTGATTATTCATTGGGCCATATAATGGGTTAAAATGGACTGAACAAAATCATGAAATAATAGACTCAAACTAAATATTTTTTGAATATTAAAATAATTTTAAATGCAAAACCATATATCTACTTACTTTAAGTATATCATATCATATATGAACTCCGGCGTCAAGTAACTTGTGGTTAAATGAGTTTCTTACCCTTTCAAAGAGGAGATCATAAATTCAGAACTCATCACAATGAAGATGTTGACATTTAATACAACAGATATTATAATATGTGAGAAAGTACAACAAAAAATATGAATTGTGGTAAATTTGTAGAATAAATATATTGGCATTTTTACACAAATGTAATATTTCTATTACATGTAGAGAAGGAACTTCATTTATGTTGATATCAATATTAATTATATTTGATAGATTTTACCTTTTAATGTATTCCGTAGGGGATGTATCACAAAACCCACTAACTTAATATCACGCTTTTTAGAGATTTCACATTTTCTTACTTATTTGTAACATCTATTTAGCTCTAACTTATTCGGAAATATCATGTATCGTGCATCATCATAAACTGCAACACGAGTAATTTTTTCACAACATTGCTTAAAAAAATTAATGCTTCAATAAAACAACTCATCTTAGTTATATAACGTTCAAAGTCTTCCATATCTTTAGACCATAAATTTATTTAGCACTCATAGATAAGTTACTCACGAACTCATGATACATTAAGTGAAACAATGTAAAACGAGATCGTCAAATTTAAATTAAGATGAAAAAATGGCCTAACTATCACTAATTGAGTTTTAAAAGGCAAAAGTATGACCTTTTTTCATTTGGACATAAAACTGGTTTTGCCCTGAGCCCAAAACCCGTCCATCTCTCATGCCCGCCTCACTTCCTATCGATGAGCGCTCTCACCTGCGCAGAGCACACCACCAATTTCGACACCGACACCACCATCAACGGCTCTCACCTGCACACTTTTCTTCTACTCCTTCTGTCTTCGAACGCGGTGCGGCGGTGTCGCTGGGCCTTCGAGGCAGCGGCGCTTTGAACTAACTATAGGTGGCTAAGGCGGCGATTGGGGCTTCAAGGATGCGCGATTTCGTCTCGCTGCTCCGCCGCCACCGGTTCAGATGTGCGGGAGCTGAGGAAAGAGTGTAGATATGGTGCAGCGGTTGAAAAGGGACTGGTCAGAGCTAGATCCGTTGTTTGGGGTCCGGTTTGAGCTAGATCTGAGACGGGGGAGCTGGCGGTCGGACTAGGGGCTAGGGAGAGGAGGTTGGGGAGGGGCTAGGTCTGGGGAGGCGGTCGGCGATGGCGGACTGCAGCGGCGCTAGGGCGGGGTAGGCTGTGAGGAGCAGGAGAGGGATGGGGAAGGGGAACACCGGAGATGGCGTTACTGGCCGAGGACTGTCGGCTGGGGTGGGTGGCAGGTGCGGCTGGTCGGTGACGCAGAGGAGGGGCTGGGTGAGGCAGGGACTTGGCCACTTGGGTGTGGTTGTTGCAGTTGTTACAGGAGGGGGTGGCCGGTGGAGGTAACTGGGCGGTGTCACTGTGGCGGTAGTCGGGTGGTCAATATGGCCGTAGTCATTGTGACCGGAGTCACTATGACCGAAGTCACTGTGGCGGAGGACGGCGGAGTCACTGTGGCGGCAGGCGGCGGAGTCACTGTGCCTGTGGAGTCACTGTGGCGGCGGGCGGCGGAGTCACTGTGCCGGCGGGCGGCGGAGTCACTGTGCCTGCGGAGTCACTATGGCGGTGGGTCACTGCGGCGACGAAGTCACTTTGTCTGAGTCACTTTGTAGTGCAGGGTTTAATTGTGATGTTAGGTCATATTTTTTGAATTTTGAAAAAGAGGTTACATTTTTGTCTTTTGTCCTTTTTTTAATAATATCCCAGCCAATTAAGATCATACATATTTTTTGATAAAAGACTTACCAAATCAGTGATGGACTTTACCTATAAGGCTATAACAGTTCCACAATGAATTTTTGTCATGGATCGGTCACAACGTTGTTGACAGTTTTTTATATATTTCACGTACAAGAAACTAGCCGGGAATGGCAACGCGCGACGATTAAATTACAGGGGTTCACTCCTCCACCCCCACCCCCGTGTCTAAAAATCCTCCCTACAACCATTCCACCCCCATACTATTTTCCCTTCCCCATAGACCCAAAGGTATCCAACGGGGGAAGGGGAGATATTCATCAAAATAAAGTTAAATAGTACTCCATATAAACTAACTAACATATAATTATATTCAAACAAAAGAAAACAATGGTTTCAACCGCTCTTTATATTGTACGGAGTAACTAGATTCTCACATGTGCGATGCACAGGACATATATTAAGTAATACTTCCTCCGGCCCGCCCCCCCTAATTTTGTCCCATTTTACCTTTTTTATCCATCCCATGCATTAAGTTTGTCTCATACCATATTTGATAATATTTGAGCGGCTACAATTCATTCTTACTTTATTCACACTATATCAATTCAATATCAACCACACAATTCTATTTTTTCTTAAGCATCACACCACACCTCTTCGTCCCAAACTTAGGGGGACGGAGGTAATAATAGTTATATCATATTATTTGTTAACATTAGCAATTAATATCTAAATGAATGGAAAGAGTATATATGTTATACACATAAAAGATTATAATTTAGGAAAATATACTTATGACTCGTAATTGGTACGAATAATGTTTTTGGAGAGTAAGGAAAACATAAATATTACTGTAAGAAATCCATAATCTACACATTTCGAAAAACCTCCTTGTAAACAACATTGACAGTATGGTCGTTTTGTTTCTCATTTTCACCGCAAAATCAGTATCTTCAAACCCTTATGATTTGTTACTCTCGATACTGCAATATAAAGTTGACCATGTGTAAACACTGTCTTTTTTAACAAGAGACCAACATGTGACAAAGATCGACCTTGATTTTTATTTATTGTCATTGCATAAGAAGTCATGACAGGAGATTGTCTTTTTTGAAACTTGAAAGATATTCTTGAATCAGATGGACTCAAACTTTACCTAGGAATGAAACATTCATGTCCAACATAAATACACCCTAGAATTTTTGCTCCAGGGATGTGATTCCCAAGCCGTGTAATAATCAACTTTGTTCCATTGCATAGCCCCCATAGAACGATCACTATTTCTCATAAGCATTATTGGAGTCCTGACTGTAAGGATTAACTCATGGTTCGGAACACCTGATGCACGGATTTTATTTAGAAATTCTGAAGTGTGCAGATCAGCCAAACAATCAGCATTTGATGCTATCGAAACTCAAATATGTCCTTGACTCTTCCTTAACATTCAAAGATGTCATGTATTCATTAATTTGATCCACGACATCAAAGGTTAGAGCTAGAATTCCATGCTCTTGCAGGTACGATGGGTCATTGGCAATATTCTCAAAGTCCAGATAGGTGCTTTTCACAATAGGGCGATTCGATCCACTCCACACTCTAACGGAATGTCGCTCGGAATTTTAACATTAGCAAATCCATCATTATCTTCACCCACAGTATCATCTCCTAAATTGACAATCCACTTCGCAAAACTCTACCAAATCTTCATATTCACGATCATCCTTCAGTGATTGCAGTCTCATGTTCTCCGTCAAACGAAATACAATACACTCATGCCAAATATATTAGAATCCTATCACTTGTATTATATTTTCAGGAATTTCCTTAAATAGGAGTAAAACGTTTTGAAATTCCAAAATAGGAGTATCGTGTTTTTTTATTCCCTGGATAGGAGTAATCTACCAAGTTTGGAAAAAATGTCATGTTTAAAACCTTGTAATGCCAAATTTGGCAGAAATTTACTCGTATTCAGGGAATGAAAAACATGATACTCCTATTTTGGAATTTCAAAACGTTTTTACTCCTATTTAGGGAATTCTTTCTACCTTAGTTTTGGTAATGTCATACGTAATTTATTAAATGTCATTATATGAAAAAACAAATTGCTAATACTTTTATGATTTTCAACTATTGATTATTTCCGTATAATCTCAACTATATGAATCGTTTGTCAATAATATTCGAGGACCGGGTATAAGCTACTATAAAAGGTGAAATTTGAATAAAAACTAAGCATATTCTATAAATAATCTGAACAATATTTGCTATTCTTTTAATAATCTCAACCATCAACTCAACATTTTACATAAAGCAAAGAAATTTATTTAAATTTCATTTTTTGAATTTTTATAAATTAAATTTTAACTAAATCTAAAATTGTATTGTGTTTTAGAAAAAACGGTACAATTTTTTCAGAAAAAAAATGTTATTTTTTATGATTAATCATTTTGGATTCTTTACCAAATCCATGATTTTATTGATTTTTAAATTATTTAAAATGATTTAATATTTTAGGATTATTAGCTTTTAACTTTTTAAATATTTTAAAAAAGTATTACGGAGTAGTGTTTTTATCTTTTTGACTTCTTAATTTTAAAAATCAAGGTTTTAATTTTTTTCAATTTCAATTTGTACTTAGTTTGAAGTTTTAATTTTGAAATTTATATAAATTTTTCATATTATAGAACTATATATTTTGTATTGTTTAATTCCACAAACTACCTAACAAAGTTAGTTAAGTAAAAACTATAATTTTATAATCTTTTTTACCCATTTTATTCATTTATAGAAATTTAATTGTATTCTTTGGGTCTGAAAGAAGGCAATAAATGATAGTTCGAATTAATATAATGGGATATTTCTTTTTTAATTGACTAAACAGGTTGCCGGTCACATCCCACCATTATTGGGTGAAGGTAACTAAAATTGAGATTATTCAAAAATACTCAAAAATTGATATTATTATAAACAGATCGCCATTAGTTGGAATTATTATTATCATTTTTGTCAAAAGAAAATCTAGAAGAATTTTAAAAATAAAATTGTTTGTACACTCGCTCACATGAGACGCAGACTCTCATT